CTAGCCATAGTCATAGCACTATCCTTAACCCCAACCCTAACCCTAAATCTAGCCCTAACTCTAACCCTAAACATATCCCTGTTCCTAGGCCTAACCCTAACCTTAACCCTATTCCTAACCCTAATCCTAGTCTTAACCCACTAAACCAAGTCCTAATACTAGCTGTAGCCCTAACTCCAGCCCTAAATCTAACCCTAACCATAACACTGACACTAACCCCATCCCTAGCTGGAAACCTAACCCTAGAAGTTACCACAATCATAACTCTAGCCATATCCTTAGCCCTAACACAGTCCTAACCCTAACCCTAGCACTAACACTAACCCTAGCCCTTTTTTAGCACTAAACCTAACACTAGGCCTAGCTCTAACCCTAAACCTAATCCTAAACCTAGCCTTGGCCGTAGCTTTAGTCCTAACCCTAACATTAACCCTTGCCCTAACCCTAGCCCTAGCCCTAACCATAGGATAGGCCTTGCCCTACAACAAGCCCAAGCCCTAGCCCTAGCCTTAGATTCAGCCCTAACCTAGATTCAGGCTTAACCTGACTTGAAAATGCTTTATATTTTCATTATGGGAATCTAGCAGAAAGTTCCTATGAGTTGTTAAGTCAGTTGTCTTTGCCTCCAGTCTTCACAACCGATCATGCTCAAACATGTCCACTTACAAAGTAAACATAATTTCTTGTGCAAATGTCACACGATGAATTATGATCTACTAATAAAATAAAAATGAATAATGTGGGCTGGAGAGATGGCTCAGCAGTTAACACTGGTTATTTCATGCAGAAAACCCAAGTTCGAATCCCAGAGCCCACATGGCAGCTAATAACTGTCTATAACCCCAGTTCCAGAGGATCCAGTGGCCTCTTCTGTCCTCTGCAGGCATTGCGTGACACAGGTGCACTTACCTACATGCAGGCAATACACACATACACATAAAATAAAAATGATAAATAAAATATTTTTCAAAATGAGTAATGGTCTGTCAAAATTGTAGTGTTATAAAGTGAGATCTGGTGAATGCTTAATGTGTGTGCCACTAGGTGGCACACGTTGCTAAGAAGTTATGGAAAAGAAGCGAAAGAAAAAGAAAGTGATAGGTTTTCCAATACCGACCAATAGATGTCTCTCTGCAACCAGGAATCTCTAAGATCTTGTATCTAACATACAGACAAGTACATTTCCTAGTCTTTCTTGTTCATCTTACAGATAATATCATCACTCCACAAGAGTTATAAACAGAACATCGAAGAAACCAGTGTCTTGTAACTGAGCACGAGGTGATGCACTCAACCATGCTATATCTGCCCGATGGGGAAATGAAATCATTAAAAAGTAGCCAGGAATAAGATTCTGAATCCATGTGAATGGCAGGAAAAGAGACCTCATTAAAATACTCTTCTCAAGTAAAACAAGACTCCCGACATTTTAAAAAATGTATGGATCACATGTGAAGGTGGTTGCTCGCTCAGCTAATAGAATGCATGCTAACTCCAAACAGAAACACAGGATCAGTAGCTACTGAATCCCTATTCAGTGAATACACAGGAAATTATGGAAATTCATAAACAGAAGAGGCCATCCTGACATAATGTCTGTTGGTATTGTTTTCTACCTTAATGAATATATGAATGTATGTATATATATTTTTTTCCTGTTCAGCTCTGGTGGTGTCGTTGACTAGATACATTTCTCTCTGTGTATATGTTTGTGCATGTGTCAGTGTAGGTGTGTATGTGTGTGAGTTCCCTCTGTATTGCCACATACCCTCTTCATGAGGTAGCTCAAGATACACATGCAGAATCCTACATCCACTCTGATAAACTTCCCTGTTATGCTAGAGAATATCTGTCCCCAGTTAATTCTAAAAGAAATTCAGCATGTATAGTAAACACAGTTTCACATAGAGAAGCCCAGGTACTAGAAGGAAATGCTTATTTCTATGATTTTTAAAGGGATAGTTTACTTTATAAGACTGGGTTAAATTATACATTAGGAATACAAATACAAAATATCTGTCCATATTCATAGAGACATATAAACATGTATCAAGCCATGCCAGTCAAGTTTCAATTAATATAATAAATCTTTGTTCCTATCTAGTAGATATTAAAATTAGCAGTACACTGTGATAATCTACAGACAAATGGCTTCTCGCAACCTCAGTTTAAAGGGCTAACCATCTCCAGCCCCAGGGGTGATCCTGTCACAGATAGAACTTAAGGGGATAGGCACACAGGTCTTTCTGCCTCATCAAGCCCTGGAACTTTCACCTGTTCTAGATTGGCTCTTTTTCCTGAACATGGCTGTCAGCCTCTGCTCTGCTGTCTATAAATGAAGACACAATGCAAATATCTAGCATAAATTCTCAACACTAGTCCATTTAAGGTACTTGCTTGCTGGCAGAACAAGATTGTCTCATTCCTGAAGTAGACTGGGGCCAGGAGACCCCAAGAGTCCGGGGAGCGTTATGGGGAAGATTTAAGTCACCTTGGTCAGTGTTTCCAGAAAGCAGCAAATAAGAAAAATTAGATGTCAGAAGCTTCTGGGATCCCACAAGATTCAGGAATCAATTCCATGGAAAACAGGCCAAGGATACTACCCTCCAGAGGGGCTTAAGACTAGGGAGGGTTTATAAGGCCCACCTCAAAATGTCACAGAGGTTCCTCATTTAATTTTTAGAGCCTAAGGCTTAGACTTCCTTGATTTGACCTACCTTATGTGCCTAGCTTCACCTGGCTGGGGGTCTCTTTCCCAAGAATTCCTCTTTCTCATAAGGTGCCACTGTAATCCACCAGACCAGAGAAGACCAGTTTCTGATTCCTTGCATTAGCAAAGATCTCTTTAGTTTGTTTACTCTCTCTTAGTGTTGATCACCTGTTGTTTCTAGAATAAAACATAAGAGGTGATGGTGAGCGATCCCTGCCCTGGGCAAGAGACAATCTCTTAGTGACCAAATCTAGCAGTGAGAGCCCCTGGCTAGTGGAGGAAGCCTGTCGTGTTATAGCAGAACCTTTGGGTGTGCCCTGGGCTTCCATTCATTTTTACCACATCATTCAGGCACCAAATGTCCTGTGCTGTGTCTGAGCAGAGCACCTGTTCAGTATGACTCACATCATCAGTGTGAGACCTCACACAGGACTGGCTTAACTCTGTTCTCGCTCTGCATTATGCACAACATGGAGAATCTTGGTTCCTCGCTGAAATGGGGCAGGAACTTGACTCTTAAATGTACCTTAGCCCACAACCTTTGGGTGGTAATTCAGCTGATTTGTGTCTCTATGATTCAAATAAAAGTTATCTTGATTTTCAAGCATGATGAATTGCTAGCAAAATTTTAAGACAGATTCTAAGAACTCATTTCAACAGGTTCAGGTGTGTTATAATTACCAAGCATAAATACTCAAACACTCTTTGACATTCCCTGCTGTAAACTGACAGTAGAGAAGCAATAGTCTTCTCTCAAGCAAAATAGCTCTCTAACACAAGGTTTGCTTTGTCAGGAAACTGGGTGGAAAGGGCAAGGATAATTCCTGCCTAAAGCAGGTACCTGAATCTGAGCAAACACCACAGAAAGTCAGCTCTTACCCTGGCTCTGAGCTACAGCACAAGTGTAGTCTGGGGAGAAATCTAATGTGTGTTCATATTTTCCTGTCTCCTACGGATTCACTTTCTTTAACATAAGTGTTCATCTAAATTCCTTGCTCTGTTTGGCATTTAAATTGGTGACAGTTGGAGGGAAAAGGAGGGATCATTGAAATTAGCCCAGGAAGGCCCGGCTCCCTCCTCCCCCACCCACACACTCGTGTTTTCTCATCCCCAGATTAAGAAGTTATGCAGTCTGACAATGCACTTTTCATCTACAAGTCTTGACATCACCGGTGTTATTTTCTTCTCACTGTTTTTTTCCAGCACCTGTTAGAACAAGAGTCCGGTGGTCTAGGGGGACTTACTCCATTTTTCTCTTGAGAGGAAGTAGGACAACGGCAAGATGAACAATGATGCTTGTGAGTATGGCTAAAATTGTAATTTAAAACGAGCCACTTCAGAGCATTTTTAGATTTTTATTCCTGTATACAAAATCAATGTGATTTGGTGGCGCCTGAACGTTCTTCCTAAACCTTTAGTCAAGTAGACTGGTAAAGGAATTCTTCCCTTTTTAAAAACGCAATCCAGGAAACTTGCAGGGCTGTTTGAAGACTGACCCGAGGAAACAACAGCGGTTAAAGGCAGATAATATTTCAGAATTGTCTCCAAAGATTCATGGATGCTTTTTTCTTTCATTAAATCACCCGGCGCTACAAAGATAGGAAGTTTTGTCAGGTGTCTTCCTGGGAATTTTGCAGGGTTCTCGGTGATAGTTTGCCTATTGTTCCCTTTCAGCCAGCCTTCCCTTTTATCTTTGCACTTTTCCAGCTCCTCTGGTAGGCGACTAGGCATTCCTTTCAAGCCCCACGGCTAACCCGGGGACCAGCTAGCTCCATTTCCCGGCGCGCGGCCTTGGGCGCTGGCGGGCGGGCCAGCTGCTGCGGGCGCCCTCCTGGCGCTTTGTCTGCGCGCCTCCTCCTCCCTTTCCCCAAAGCCAGGGTTCATTATTCGGTCCGTGTGCAAACAAAACCTCTCCAAACGTTACTTCCAAATATAGGCTCTCCCGCCACCGGGGCTGACCCGGTGTCCCGCAGGACTGCCTTCCTTCCTGGCGGCCGCTGCGACCCGGCCCGCGCAGCGCCACATCTGGAAGCCAGGCTTGCCAGCTCGCGCCAGCGCCAGCAAACGGGCAGCGTCAAGAAGGGACATTTCCTCTCTTGAAAATGCTTAAAACTTACTTCTTTTTTTTTCCCCCCTCCACTAAAATGTCCCCAAACAGCCCATTCTGAACCAGGATAATTTAGTCTGACAACAGATTCTTCCTCTGTTCACAGCTGTCCCAGAGGGAGGGCCTGAAATCTGAACCTCTCTGCTGTGATTGGATCCTTCTTGCAAAAGCCAGGAAAAAAAACCCTCCCCGCCCCTAGGAGCTCAGTCGGGCAGGGAACCCGGTGACTTCACAGGCGCCGGCCTGTCCCCGCCGCACCTGAGCTGCCGCCGCGATGCAGTAGGGACCAGCCGGCCTTGGACCGTTATCCGCCCGCGCCGCCGCCACCATGCCGCGCTCCTTCCTGGTCAAGAAACATTTCAACGCCTCCAAAAAGCCGAACTACAGCGAACTGGACACACACACAGGTAAAAAGAATCTCTCTCTCAATCCGTAACGATGAATTATGAGTTTTACTGCTCAGATGCTTTCCACCCAGCGGAGGACCAGGCTGCTTTCCTTTTAACGCTGCCCTAAAAGAGGGCATGTATTCTTTTGATCGTCAGGATTAGATTTAATTCAAAAACTTTTCCGCTCCTCAGTGGCAAAGAAAGCCTCCTCCAGTCTCAGTTTTCCCGAAACGTGTGAGCTGAGCGCACACATGGAGGGTGAGCGCCCAGTTCGCCCAGGCTCAGCCCTTTTCTTGCTACGCGGCGCTTTGGGGAGGCAGCTGGATCCGCGCGTGCCTTTGCTCCCCATAGTCTTAGCACGTGTAAATACCCCGTGCATAAAATGGAAAGCAACTTTTCGGCAAGTTTAAAAACTGTCTAGTTCTTCCTTCTTAACGGGGAAAGTGAAGCTGGCCAGAATGCAGATCACAGGCCGGCAGGGCAGCTGTCACCCTGCGCAAGCACAGTAACTGCTGAAGAGCTCTACCAAATGCACGTCCTTCTGAGTTAGTCTGTCTTCTTCATTACGGAGTCCGGTGCAATGCTGTGTACTGTCCCAGACTGTGTACTTGTATATTTAAGATATCCTTGCCTTAATCCTCTTTCCTTTCCTTCCTTCTCTTTCCCCCAGTGATTATCTCCCCGTACCTCTATGAGAGCTACCCTATGCCTGTCATACCAAAACCAGAAATCCTCGGCTCTGGAGCATACAGCCCCATTACCGTGTGGACAACGACAGCGCCTTTCCACTCCCCTCTAACCAGTGGCCTCTCTTCCCTTGCCGGATACCCCTCATCCTTGGGGCGAGTGAGTCCCCCTCCTCCATCTGACACTTCATCCAAGGACCACAGTGGCTCAGAAAGCCCCATTAGTGATGAAGAGGAAAGACTGCAATCCAAACTTTCAGACCCCCATGCCATTGAAGCTGAAAAGTTTCAGTGCAGTTTATGCAGTAAGACCTACTCCACGTTCTCTGGGATGGCCAAACACAAGCAGCTGCACTGTGATGCCCAGTCTAGGAAGTCTTTCAGCTGCAAATACTGTGACAAGGAGTATGTGAGCCTGGGTGCCCTGAAGATGCACATTCGGACCCACACATTACCGTGTGTCTGCAAGATCTGCGGCAAAGCTTTCTCCAGACCCTGGCTGCTTCAAGGACACATTAGAACTCACACTGGTAAGAGAAAAATGTAGCTAAGAATGTCTCTCAGATTAACAGCATGTGGTGGGGCTGGCTGTTGGGCTGCTTGAGGTAGTGACAGTGCTCTTCATGGTGGTGGACCACTGATAGCTACTTCCTGATGACTCAAAATGTTGTCAGGGCACCAAGTGCTCCATTTCTTGCTAACAACCTCTGTTCCAGAGACTGCAAACAGCATTTAGACTTTGGAAAGTAGATTCAGGAGATTTGGTCTCAAAGATCAGTTAGAAAACCAGGACCCAGGTATTTGAATGTGTGTTCTGTGAAACTGCCCCTGGTAGTCAGCAAATAAAATGTTGGGATTTTAGTCAATTGATCTGGTAAATAGATGAAAGGTTTTCCCATAGTTTTCTATTCCATTCTGGCTGTGAATGCTATCAGCCCTTGCCTAGATGGGACTGAATTTGACCTATGCTTTTTTTGTTTAGTTTCCTTGAGGTTAAATTTGATGGTCCTTAGCACAAAATCATCTGCAGGAAATCAAGGCATTTATGCAGGCTTAGCCGTCATACAGAAAAAAAGGGGGAAACTGGGAGATGTGGGGAGGCGCTCATCATAAATGCACCTGCTGAGGCAGAAATCCTCAGTCAGAGAAAGGGCTTCCACTCTGTGAATTATTTCTGCCTGACTGACTGAACTAATGCCATTCTGCCTGTGGTATTTTTAAAATAAATTTTAACTTAAAAGGCCAGACATGAATATAGCTACCTAATATGGGGGAGGGGTGTCACCAGGCTATGCTACTTCTCATTCTTTTGATAAACTGTGATTGATGTTCGTTAACATTATTTGACTCTGTGTCCTCTAAAAATGCTGTCTTTTTTTTTCTTCACCCCCACCCCCAGGGGAAAAGCCTTTTTCTTGCCCTCACTGCAACAGAGCATTTGCAGACAGGTCAAACCTAAGGGCGCATCTGCAGACCCATTCTGATGTAAAGAAATACCAGTGCAAAAACTGCTCCAAAACCTTCTCCAGAATGTCTCTTCTGCACAAACACGAGGAATCTGGCTGCTGTGTAGCACACTGAGTGATGCAACCCATGTTTACTCGAACAGAATGCATTTCTTCACTCCGACACCAAATGACAAATGAAAGTCCAAAGGCATTTTCTCTTGTGCTTACCAACCAAATAATATGTATAGGCACACACACACACACACACACACACACACACACACACACTACAAGCTGCAAGAGCACGGAACCCATGTGTTTAAAGTTAATCCTTTCCATGTGAAGTTTAAAATTACTATATATTTACTGACAGCAAGGTTGATAAAAGACAAGAACTTTTCTCTTCAAAGATGAAGCAAAAAGTACATTGCGTCTTTTCTTACTAAGAAAGAATGCAGAGATTTACATCACTGCCAAACCATTTCAAATGAAAAGAACAGTATTGCTTTGTAATAGAGTTGTAATAGAGTTTCCTATAGGAAGAGAATCTACCAGATGCTATCTCAGGTGCCTTATAAAGTATTCCAAGTTTACTTCATTATGTGTTTGATGTCTGGGTGTCATCGTTGAATTAAAGCCTTTTTTGGATTACCTACAATGCTTTAAACTTTATGTTAAGAGAAAAAATGAGAAAAAGAACAAAACACAGGAGAATGTATTAAAATATTTTTGTTTTGTTTTATTTTTTGCCAATATGTGCCTTGGGAGAGGAGGGAAGTGCTAACTTTGAACATTCCTGGTGCATGCTCCATGTCTTACTTTTAAAAAGAATTTTAATGATTTCTTAAAGCAAAGTAAATGAGGGAATAAGTGCAAAAGAGGACTCTTAGACATTCAGTAATGTACTTAAACTCCTAAAGATGCGTACGGTGGATGCAATAATACAACATCCCTCCAAGTGCCTGTTTTAATGAATTGTGTAGCTGAAGAGTCAGTGTAAATCTGTGTTTATTTTTATACGGCTGAATGAGCTTTGTATGAAAGTGAAATGTTGTCTATAGCTGTGCCTATATGCAACTTGAAGACTTGTGAAATCAATGTTCCTTTTTAAAAATAACTTTCAAGTTCCTTTTTTACAATAAACATTTTTGACTTAAATTTATTGCTCATCTACTGCTTTCAAAAGTTTCTCTTGCTTTGATCTAGAATGCTATACTGAAATTTATTTCTGTGTTGATAAGAGAGACCACAAATGGTGGTTTTTACACATATCCAGTATCATTTTGTTAGACTGTGAGTAACTGCCTTTTTGGTTTTTCACTCTTAAGAAAATACTATCAAATTCAGAAAAAGTAATATCGTGATTGTAGTTTGTTAGCAAACTGTAACAAAAGTCATACTTTCTGGGGGCTATAAACAGTCAAGTTATTAATAACGAAAAATACTTTTCCAAACATTTTTGTTAACTTTACTGACTTTATGAAAACAAATTATAGTCACTTATGTTTCCCCATAAGCCATCTTAAGATTCTTTTAAAACATACTGTTTATTAAGACATAGGAGAAAAAAGTCTAAAAAGTCTGCATGAGAAAATAGATTTACCAAAACGGTACAAGTTGGAAAATTAAACCCTGCAAACAAACCCCCAATATGTAGTGACATAAGTAGTATATACATTATTTGAATTAATTTACAAAGTTAACATGTTCCTTTATGGAACTTGAATATATTGAGTTACACCCACCCAAGCCTAGTATTTGGTGAAATATTATCTAATCAAATACTCTGTATTCAAGTTCGCATTTTCTAAATTGGTATGCGAGTTTCCTAGGCATGATTGAAACTGGACTCATTCATTACCAAAGAATATATGTGAAGCCAAACTTGCAACCCCTTATGAAAATAGTTCCTGCTGCTGTTCCATTTCTTCTTATTATGATTAGAATTGATAGAAGTGTCTTTTTCTTTTAATGTCGTGATATAAACGAAGGCTGGAACTAACATCTCCAAGGATATTAGGGATAGGCCACTGGCAAATGAGGAGCAGTGAGTACGCACACCTTCTGGGTGCTAGGCCAGCACTCTTCCCACTGAGCTGCACCCTCGTCAATACTACTTACTCCTTTAATGTTCACTTTCATTCCCCTGTATTTTACATTTTAGCCTACGTATAAAAATTGTTGTGGTTTTGATGAAAAATTTCAATTAAATAATGTACTTAACTGTTTTGTTCTCCCGGGGCATATTTCTCAGAGGCAAAATGATTTGCTATAGCACTTTATAAGAAACAATGTTGCCTGTCACATGCCTGGAGCATTATAAAGTTATAAAAAAGATCAACTAAGCTAAGTGTACCCAGGATAGAAATATCACGTAGTACCTGAAAGTCTCAGGCCAGCTACCATGAGAACAGGCTTGCAAAGGGAAATGTGGATGAGTCAAACTTTCATGAGTGCTCTGATGGCCACTTCAAGAACCACAGCTACCTCATGTTCCTCTCCTCTTGGTAGATCTGTAGGCAAAATTTCTTTGTGTCCAAAATTTAAGCAAATAGTTTTCTAGAGGGAAAAGTCTTTTTGTTAGTTCAATTTCTCAAAGAATGATTAATAGCAATATTTTTGTAACACATTCAGCTTTATTCCCATCATTCTAATTCATTCTTCATTTAGACATTTTAATTTTGTAAAATTTCATGGTTCTGAAGGTACATCAGATATTAGGGTATCTACAAACACACTTGAATTTTCCCTGAAAACGTTGGCTGGGTGTCTGCTCTTTTCCTACAACGCATATCCTGCCTGACTCGTAACTTACTTGAGATGTTGTTTCGAATTCACAAGCTCTGCATGTTCTGCTCCACTCAAGTGATGTCTGCATCATAATCTTTGGCTGATATGGGCATAGATGACCCTCAGTGTGGAAGTTCTCAGTACTTAGAATATCACCAGTGTAGCACTTCAATAAGTGTTTGTTGAATGAATTGATTGAAATATAACAAAAATGGGTAGTAATAGTAAGTTCTCCCCTAGGGCCTATGACATATCTAGGCAAACCAGACAAAATCCCAGCATGGAGAACAAATGTAGGCATGATGTCTCACCCCTAGATGAGGACCCACTGGCAATTCATAGCTGTTGGGAGGGGAGAGAGTCAGTTTTATGTAAGAGTATGGCCCCTGGTAGGTCAACCATGATCCAGTGGATGGCCATATACCTAAGAGTATAGGGGCATCACAAATTGGACTCCATGGTTTTATTTTTATTTTATTTTATATTTTTAGGAGGACACAAAGTTGGGTGGATAAAGTTGGGGGTGACCTGGGAGGAGTTAACAGAGAGGGGGTGTATATGATCAAAATACATAGTATGAAATGCTCAAAGAACTAATAGAAGTTTTTAAATGAAAAATGAATAAATCTAAATTTTTAAAAAGAAAAAATAACAGAAATGGTAGAAAAGCTTATTGAGTCAAAGGAAATTCAATACATTCCCTGTTATTGCATAGTGTTGATACTGTCCAAGAAATCTCCTAAACAAATTTCCTAGAACATCTCCAAGCATAGGCGTGACAGTCTCTCTAGATAGCTTTACTGCTCATGAAAGGAGGACAAATATCATGCTCAGGGAGAGGCACGACTGACTGGGAACCTAAGGATTTTAACAACAGTACACAAGTATTTTTAGAATCCTTAATTTATTTCATACACTGTGAGGTACTGTGCCTAGGTGGGAAGAGCACAAGTTTTTAAATCCAACATGTGTGTTCACTGAACCTCTGCCCCTGGGCAGTGTATGTCCTTATGCAAGTTAAGGGGGCCAAGGAGTGCCTTAGCTTCCTAAAGGATAAAACAGGAACAGAGTCTCAGTGCCACAAATAAAATCTCAAAAGCCCCTGCACTAATGCATACATCACAAGAGGCCCACTCTTGTTATTAGGCTTGCTATGTACCTGCTTAGCATCAGGAAATGTACATACATAGTGCATGTGAGTTGCCATGGTAATAATGCATAACACTGATGTTTCACTCAGGTTGGAAAGGACCCAAGGTGGGAAAGGACAACAGTGCACAACAGAAAGTCAAGCCCAGACTTTTCTGGCTCTGAAGTTTCTACACTTCCCACACCATGGGAATGAGGAGACTTGCTGACCTACACTCAGCATAGTGCTTTATACATCACAGGTCTGAGTAAGAAGCTTGGTAAGAAAGACAATGGTAATGTCCTGAAATTCAATATTTTAATGGTGTATTTAGGAACCGTCATAATTCAGGACACCAACAATCTTCAGAAATGCTGCTGCCTGTGATTTAGCAGTCCTTCTGGCTCCTACTGCTCCAGCCCTGGCCCTCGCTGCCATCCACCCAGCTCCTCCAGCCGTCATCTCATATGGGAGCCCATTTCCTCTGGCCTGTTCTCTGCAGAGATGGGAAGCAGCTGGTCTCCATCCTTTGTACATTAACACTTCATCTTCTGAAGGCCCCTGCTACTCCCTCCCACACCCACACTCCTCACTGGGCTTTTATCTTCTTAGACTAAAACATCTTCCAAGCTAAACAGCCATTTCTTTCCCCCACTAAAATATGGACACTCTGGTGTAATGAGGCAATTATAATTTTGAAAACTATAAGGTTTTCCTGGGTAGCAGCCACATCTTAGGAGTTGTCCCTGTTTAGATATGGGAAACATTTTGAACAAAATTAAATGGAGACTTAGGATTCGACCATCTAGGGAAGAACCAAGTTTCAAATAAAATTATTTCTATCATTGCTGACCAGAGAGAGGTAACTGAACTAAAGCATCCCGGTTACCTGACACAGACACACATGGGGGCACTCTGAAATCTGATTCTCAGCAGTAAATGTGCACAGTCTGGGGGGGTGGGGGGTTAGCTGGCGATGAGGGCTCAGGCCCTTAGCCCTCCAGGAAGTAATCATTCTGTGTGGAAAGCACGCATGTAAAGATCAGCAAGCATGGCAGCTTTTCCACTGTGGCACCGGGCCAGACCCCTGAACAATGAGAGATTAGCAGAGGAAATCGCAGCACATCCATGTCCGCAGACTCCAAGGGGAGTGGGAAGGTATTTATATCAGGGAGTAGGCGAGCTGCTGTGAGTAAAAAGTGGGGGTGTTGGAATACTGTGAAGCAATTATTTTAATTAAGCTCCTCTGGTTATAGCAGTTGAATCCATTCAGCTTGTTCTTCTGGAAGTATGGAAAGAGTCAGGAGGCCCTTCCAATCATCCCTAAGTGGTTTTCTTTGCCAAGGACCAAAGAGAAAGGCCTGGTACTCATCCGACTCAGTAGTTAGGACGGTGGAGAGGATGTGATCACAGTCTTCTAGTTGATTCTGAGGCCTGAGTCAAGTGCCTCTCAGGGAAGAGTAGCCGAGAACATTATTTCTTATGGCACATGGTTAATGCTCTGGCTGAATCAAATCGTGAAGATTTCTCTTACCAAAGACAACGAATGGCAGCCCCGTTTCTTCTAAGTTCCAATTTCTCTGTACATAGGGACGCAGACGTTGGAAGGTTTAGAACTTTCCTGTACTGTGTGTTGAAACTTATTTTAAAAGAATCGGCAGGAAAGCCAGTACAAGAGGGAATCGACTCCTTCTGTAACCAATTCGCTGAACTGTAGGGTCCTGTCCATTGGCAGCCGGTGCCTGAAGGTATTCAGTCTCCTCTGTGCGTTGCTAACGTCCTACTCTGCTATATCTGAGTGGGGACTGATTGAGAGTCTGCCATTCTGGTCAGTTTCCAGCTGATGCTCCCTCCCCGCTGGGCAACCCCCAGCCCAGCTCCAGGACCCCTTCACTACCTACCTCAGCTCCTGATTAAATGCATCTAGGTGACCTCTGGGAAGAGCAGCAGGAAACAAGTGGGGTCTGGAAACCACCCATATTTCATGCGTGCCTTGATGGGAGGTGGAAGGCAGGAACACAAATTCCTACCAAAGCCAACTCTATCATTTTCTTACTTTCTCTGCTCCCCCCAAAACCCTCAGTGCCATAGTTCCAATGTATCATCAACCCTCTGTATCCATGGATTCAATCTAACTATGGATCAAAACTATTCTTTAAAAAAAAAAAGAAAACTGTAGCAATACTGAACATAATACAAACTTTAAAAATAATAGTTTTTTTGCATAATACAGCACGTCTACT